ATTACACATTGCATATTTACATGTACATTAGACTGCATCACTCCCCAAACAAAAAAATTTGATTTGAAAATACCTCCAAAAATGGATTTTTTTATGAATAAAAATAGTTCCTTAAAGATTTTTTTTGAAAAAATCCCCTCAAATGACAAAACGGTTTAAGCTTAAAAAATATGCAGAAAAATATTAAAAAAATTAAAAAATATTTTCAACGGAATCGTAATGATGAAATTTTTGATGCTGTTTTTTAACTTTTTTTAAAGATTGGTATAAGAAAAACTTGAATAACTGAACCTAAACTCTTCCGATTTAGACTTGTGAGGTATCATTGGAAAGGATTTTCTCACCGCTTTTATTTCTTTGCTAATAAACTTATTCAAAGGATGAAAAAGAAAGGTAGGATGAAGGAACGTCATTCAAAGTTGAATTAAGATGAGGTTGGTATTTAAAAAAAAAAAAATATTGGGACACGAATGACTTTTTTTTCAACTGAGATCCCATAAGTCTAAATCAGAATAGTTTTGGCCCAGTTATTCAAGTTTTTCGTAAATCAATCTTTGAAAAACAGTAAAAAAACAGCATCGAAAATCTCATTCTTACGGTTCCGTTGAAAAGATTTTTAAATATTTTTATGCAGATTTTTTAAGCTTAATTTGTTTTGTCATCTGAGGGGACTTTCTCCAAAAAGTTCTTTAAGAAACAATTTTTATTCATAAAAAACTACATTTTTGGAGGTATTTTCAAATCGGTCCAGCTCACTTAAATCTTAATATTTTTTCGAAATATTTTGGTGGACGTCTTAAAATATAATAGATTGTATAATTCCAATGGAAAAATAGTATCGATTTTTTTTTGTATGGGGAGTGATGCAGTCTAATGTACATACATAGTAGTTATGTATGTATATACTCGTATGTTATTTGTGCGATATGTGAATAATCTATGTGAAAAGGCAAAGAATAGGATATTATTGCTAGTTGCCGCACACAATTGTGTATCGAAACTTTTTCATTTACATACATATTTAGGTCTCATCTGAAGCTTAGCAATCGCTGCACTTGTACTTACTTCTCTGTATAGTTATATGAACATCCATACACACACATATGTACATATTCACTAAGCAACGCAATTCTTTTGAAATAGAAGATGCTTAAGATCAACGGCAATTTCACGTTTGGGCCAACGCTTTTAAATCAGACACCATACCGGTTATGAATTTTATAATAAAAAGCAAAAATGTAAGTTGTTTTTTTAGTTTTATTATTTTGGGCAAATACTAGCGATTACTTCTGCTTTTTATTATTTTAAGTTAAAATTTGCCTTTTAAAAGTTAAAATTTGCCTTTTATTTTTTTGAGCAGAAAACTTGAGTGCAAGAAGGTTTCGTTTTTTTTTGAATGTGGCTCAAAATGATAAAAGTCAGATTTTCAAAAGTCCTAGAGGAATCACAATCAACAATGGGAGGTGAGTCTAATGGTACCTTTAAAAAACGCTATAGCATAAATTTTTCACTAGGCCTTTTTGATATCAAAAATTGTAAAATAACATTTATTTTCAGTCTCTGTTTTAAATACACAAGTCGGAGAATTAAAATTGATGCCATAACCTGGGGATATCAAACAAATGACGAATAGGATGCAATCACTTTGATATTGAACACCTACATACGTATGTAAGTACATATGTACATACATACATCATTTACCTACCTACACACCTTAATATAGAAAGACCCTAACTCAGCCATCCCGAACCACACAGTGTCCGGTTGTAGGACCAGTTATTCACTAATACACACAATTATTAACAAAATATCACTACGTACAAATATGCTCCGGCCACCGCCAACAAAGAAATCGAAAAATATCGTTTGATCATACATATATACGAGAACTTGTAAAATATTTGTAGAGTAGCGCTACATACCATACATACTTCGCGAGAAAAATTTACTAGATTCACAAAGAATTTGTTACGATGTGTCCGAAACAAAAAATTTATACAAGCAAAAAAAAAAGATTGTATGAAAGCATACTGAAGTCTGGCCCCACAAGGGCTAAACTTTCCCGTAACAGTATCAGGCCCAGCTATCCTATACAGATTAATAATGTGCTGCCGGAGAGATTGTGGATTTCGTCGACATTCCGGAACACATATCATAGCCGTCGTAAAGGCGTCGATCGCAGCTTGACTACTCACAACAAAAGCGCGTACTTACTTTTCAGCGGTATTTATTAAAATAATTTCAGACAAAAAAAAAAGTTCAATGGAGTGGAAGTTTGTAAGCTTCCCCCAGTAAAAGTTGCTGCGAGGCGAGACAGGATCCTTTTGCGATGTCCATTTTGCAGCCGTTTGTAAAGACTAAAAACTTTTTTTTTTATCAGAACCCCTTGTCTTTGTCAATGAAACGCAGCCAATTAGACGACCTAAACCTTAATTCACTGTTCGGATCAATTATTTTTATTTACTTCTTTCCTCCTCAATACGCACCCCCAAACCATATTTGTTTGTTTCAAAACTTATTAAAAGCATTACATCTTCGTACATTTAATCAAAATATTTTACAAATAAATTGCGAATATCTTTCAAAATTTTGCCACATGCCCGACGAAGTACACCGCTTCTCTATTTCGTATCGCAAATACAAAGGGGTGATCGGCTCTAAAGATTTTCTGGTCCAAGTTGAGACTCATCGGTACAATTTTCATGACTGAAATAAAATAATACATATATTTTCATCTTCATCTTAACTTCAGGTATAACAAATATAAGCTTACAGGTCGCCGCCGCAGCCTCCGAACCAGCTTCGTTCACATCTAAGAAAGCTTTGTGCTTAACTTCGTCAATCCTCTGCGCCTGGCTCTCAGCAAAGAGGCCACTGAAATCAGCTGCGTCACTAAACATGTTCACTATGCCCAGCTGAAAATAAAAAGAGTGCTGCGTGAGTACTCTAAAGACTCCGTTCCATTTTGTTTGATTCGGTGCTCACCTGCTGAAGTGGCTGCTTTAAATCAACATCGAATTCGATGCGAAACTTCGGCAGAAAAACATCTACGCTTTGCGAACGCATTCGCTCTGCAATCAGATTAAGGTCGACATTTGCCAACTTCTGTTCCAACGCTTGCAAACCGTCCACTTTGTTGGGCAAAACTAACAACATTGAGAGATCAGAGTCCTTGTAGGGCAATTCAATAGCTTTCGCATCGAAATCGGACAAATCGGCATATTTTAACCGCTCATCTGAATTCATCATGGCCACTGTTGTCGTCTGTCCTCCGCTCATTCTGAATTCTTGTTGGGTGGTCGATATCTCACTGAATGGATGCAGCCACTTACCCTTAAAATAGATCGCATTCACGAGAATGGCACTAGTCTCGGAATTCACGGCATCTGGTTGTAACAGATCTTTAATTTTTCCCTCAGTTTGGCTCTCCACCCACGTATTTATGGACTTAGTAGTTGAAGTTGAATCGGCGAAGTTTGCTGATGTCGCCTCTGATTCGAAACTAGTTTTCGCGAGCTTGTTAAATTGCGGCGACAGCTTCAGATTCTCATTCACGTAAATGCGGCTGGCCATGCGCAGCTTTGGCGCATCCTTCTTTGCATTTGGATCAGCATGGAAATTCTTTTTTATAAAACCCGCATAGTCCTGCGCAATGCTATCTGTGTCCAGTGCAGCCGGTAAGCGTAGGCTAGTGCGCAACTGCTGAGCGGTTTCTCCCCCAGCACCGAGAAAGGCCAGCGCAAGGCTGCTTTGTATGGACGCCGGCGAAAAGACGACATTTTCCTGCGATCTCTCCGTGGCGATCGTCTTAAACATATCCAGAGCGAAGATATTATGGCTGGCCGCAAGCGAGGGCGCAATGGTGCCGGCTGTAGCCATATTTAATGAAATCGTGGCTAGGAGGCTTGATATGACTAAAAGACGATCTGAAAGATATTTTGAGTGTGAAAGTTTTTGTAGTATTTTTTCAATGACACAAAGACAACAATCAATGAACTGCTGCATTGCTGGCGAAAGTTTGATGAACTATTCGAATTAGTTTCAAAATTCTTGGCTGATAACTGATGACGTGAGGCGGCACACCCAGATTTACAAATATATGTTTTGAATTTCTTTCGTACGATCGATGTTCTTATCTAATCATAGTCTACTTTCTTGTTTATTTTATTTGTTGCTATCTACCTACATAAATAGATTGCGGATAGTAATTCGATGATTGGTATTGCAGGCAATTAATTGAACTTAAATATACTTTCACATTCTTCAACAATTTAACGAATTTAACTTCCCTACCAGAACAATTTACCGCAAACTTTAATGCCGTATTTTCACTAGGCATTGAATGATACAAATTATAATGACAAAGGTGGGCATTAAAAAATATCTGTGCCATTACGTCAAAAAAAAAAATGCCATTCAATTCATTTCGACATAAGGCACAAGGCGAAAACAAAACTTAACATGTATTTTGTTCTTTCTTTTGGTACACAATTATCAAATTTCAGCTATCCTCCTCTCAAGCTAAAAGAAGAAAAGAAAATTCCAACACTCTCTCTCTCTTTCTCACTCACTCACTTGAGAGAAATATGAAATTTTTAAATTTGTGTGGTAAGGCAAGTCAAATTAACTGTTCTATTTAGTAACACCAACTTGTATGAACTTGCCTTGGTACGTATGCTTCAATACAATTTCATTTCTTTTTTCAAATCTGAAACATAATCACAGTTTACTATGAAAATTTCTAAGAAAACTTACGTTACCCAGCAAATATTTGGGTTTGGCATGGTTAAAATAAAATGAATTAAATAAAATTTAATATCTGTAACTTGTATTTCGTTTTTTTTTTCTATTTGATGTTCACCCTAAAAAATATCAACATCTAAATGTTCTACGTACAAAATAAAGAAATCCACGAAAATTTCAAAATCTTAAAATAAATTTTAGGTGTCGCTACCAAGGTTTGAAAATTAATTTAATTTAATTAAAAACATGCAACAACTAGACGATATGTTGACTTTGAAAGCTGATACATTTGACATATTATTCATATAAATTCATAAGCTCGCTGAGTGAGACGAATTTTTGCGACCATCAAATTTTGTTTGGTTTTTAAGGTAGAACATTTTAAACAGTTTTGCTGGCTAGTAGAGTACACAAACTCACATGCACACCAAAATTTGCAGTAGCATACGGTAGAATTAAGAAATTCATAAAAACTTTAGCCAATACACCAGATAAAGCTCCTTATAAGAGTAGTGTTTACTTGGGTGTTTGCCAATTGTGTTCTGGTAGGGTGGTTTGCCTTTAATACATTATTGCTTATACATAAAAAAAAAAATATTCATACACCGCAATGACGTCATCTTGATCACTGTCGATAATTTGCACCGTAATAATTATTTGTCTTGTATATATGTATGTGAATATAATCCGCAGTTGAATGTATACTATATGGTTATGTATGTATGTGTGTATATATATTTGTACACAAATTGGCTATCGAGCACAGACTTATTCACTTTTCGAGCACTTCATTCAAACTAAATAAATCGCATGCTCATCGCTTCCATTTATGCACAATAATCAATTCTGCATGCCAGAAATCCCCGCCTATTATTGATTTATAAGCCGATAAACAAAGCTAATAATGGGGAAAGCCCGGGTCAAACACTGATTTCAGCTCGTTATATGTCGTTTTATTAGCACTTTCTCTCTTGTTTCATACCCATTGGGAAAATGTAATGTATTGCAAGCGAAAAATAAAAATAATCAGTATAACAGCCGTATTCACATTCGAAAATGCATTATCTTTTCGCACGGCAATGTCCGAGGAAAAGTGTGGCATTCAATTTTTTGCGACTTTTTGGATACATTAGAATGCTGATTACATATTAAATAACAAGTAATAGAATCTAGAACTCATAAGAAATACATCTCGCATTTAATGCATTAGATGCCACTTTTCTCACTGGGTAGCTTAACCACTCACTGCACCAACGCATACATACATACAAATAGGCTTAGTGCGGTCAGTCAATCATAGCCGCCTGCCCGCCTGTATATTTGTTTATAAACAACGAGTTTCTAGAATTTGCAGCTGCATATACGAACAATTGTATTTATGTACATACTTATGTAAATAAGATAGCTGATCTGAACGTTTTCTTTGGTTCTCGTAATTTCTATTTATTTAATTCTTCACTTTTTCCGTTTTAACACATATTTTTTTTTAACCACAAATTTCGAACTTACTATGCACTCGCTTGCTGAAATACTAAAAATGTTTAGAGTTTGTAAAGTTTTTGCCAGCACAAATTTCTACTCGAAAGTGATAGCAAATAGGCCATTAATGAGTAATACAAAGTGGGTCTCCTGTTACATATTTTTTTTTTGCTTTGCTTGTTTTTAAGTAGTGATTAGATATAGAGAGGCAATTAACCAAAATTATGAGAGCTGAGAGAGTAGATAAAAGAGCGACTGCGCGGGTGGCAATTATCGGCATAAAATGTATGAATATGCATACAGTGGTCAATAGGCAAAAACTATGCTTACAAAATTTGACTGTAGATAATTGTCTCCCACCACATTAACATTAGGATTGAGTACGAGTATTGAGCTACTTATGCCGTCATAACCCTCCACGCCTCTGAACTTTTTGATATTTAAAAAAAGCATATCGTTCCCAACTATGCAGTTTTGAATAAAGCTCTGGGAAATATGCTAATGTCGCCGGTGTAGAGAAGAACCTCGGACGCATAACGGCAGGAAAACCTGGAAAAAAAGCCTATAGCATTGGGTAGGTGACTAACAACACCTATGAGGGCCCTAAAAGTGTGCCACATCAACTGGTACTAAACTGGATAGGAAGCACATATTTAGGGCCTAGGTGTTGTTAGTAAATTGCCGTACCATTGGTTCCAAGGCCTACCCATTAACTTTTAAGTAAGGTTAGCCAATCAATGTTCAATTTAAACTCAGTTTACGAGATCTAAGTTGAAACTGCCAGTGAAAAACGGGCCCTATGGCAATATGACTAGTTACGACACCTTGTGAATAACCCAATTATATTTGAGTTTCACTGTGCTTCCCATACATATGTATGTGTGCACGTGCGTGATAATTCTTGATATAATGCAACGATAAAACTGGTCAAGAAAAAAAATTAATTAATTTAGTTGTCCTATTGAAAAAGTTTTACTCAGCCAAATAATTAAAAACGTTCGTGTTGAAAAAGCTGAAATGATGAAGTCTGATTCAATCAAGGAAATTGATTTTATGTACATAAATAACAGTTCATGTTGGCGATACAGAAATTTAAGGAAATGTACCGTATGTATGTATTTATGCAGTAAATGGCGCTTCGAAACACTTAATATATGTAATAATCATATACAGCTGAAATGTAAGTTAACTTCTTGTTTTGAATATTCATCGCTTGAATAAAGTCAAATCTCATTCTGCAAATATTAAACAATCAGAACATTTATAAGCGTAGTCGATTTTGCGCTACACTTTTCTCGTCCTAATCAGAATGTACTCAGTACATGCAGTAGAATCCGGTTACATTGACTTCCAAGGGGCCGGTGAAAATACGTCGTACTAACCGGACATGTTTTTTTTTGTATAATTCTGCTATAGGACATTTTTGCGTAGGTAGTTACTCATCAGTAATCACTAAACCAACTGCCAAAACATTTCCACTATCGAGTGCACATTACTTAAGTATTTTTGACAAGCAAAAATGCAAAACTTTATTACAAGTGAATCCAAAATTAAACGTCAGTAGAAAAAAACTCGAATTAAAAAGACAAATGTCGCTGTGGACTAACCGCTAGCCACACCAGGCGCCATATGCGCCTTCGATGTTCAGTCGCTGCATAACATGTAACAACATGTTTTCCAAAGCTTCAAATTTTCTGTGAATTTTTAAGACTTTCGTCGTTCTAATCGAAATTACGTCGCTTAAAGCAAAGTCGTCTTAAACGGATGTACTTTCATAGTAATTTTTATAAATACCACGCTTGAGGTTGTGTTTACGTCGCTATAAGCAGTCGGTCGTTATATGCGGGGAGCCGTTATAAACGGATTCTACTGTATTTATTATTTATATAGAAGCGTTAGTATGTCTATGTAAGTATTTGCGATACAGTCATGCAATGAGAGCCAGCATCGAATTCAGAGCGAATATTTTGTGGAGTGCCCTCTCACCAGTTGTTCACTGACTGCTATTTATTACTGATAAGAAAATAGCTCGAGTATATAAAACGAAAAGTAAAAAAAAACAGAAGTAACTTATGTTACAGAGTTTTACATTATTTCCGTACATTTGTGCATTGACCTCCTAGAAGGTAGAACTGTCAATGTTGGTTAAATCCTTATCGGAAGATATGGCAAATACGCCAAGTTCGCCTTCGCGCAATGCGTACTTCTTTGTTCGTTTCGGCGAACCGTTTAATCAGTAAACTTGGAAAGAGATGACGTTCCCTAAAGGAAAAGTGAAATTGTTGTATGTACAACATAAATACGGTCAAGAGTAAAGACTTGCCCAACTTTTATAAGTAACCGCAAAGCAACGGCTCCGTTCAAATGTACAAATCGTTTTCAGTGTTGAAAGTCTATAGCAAATGAGTAATCAACACGAAGTAGTGACTTTTAACATTTCGGCAAAAAATTTAACAAAAAACTAGAAACTGGTCGAATATATCATCGCTGCCCATGCCCACTGTACACTGAAAGGCACCGAAATTCCAATGGCCCGAAATAAAATATGTAAATACTATGCCAGTCACTAGAGTTGCGATTTTTAGCTCATTTTGGTGATCGATCAACGTAGTTCAGATTAATCAAATGAACTACTTAATTTCGTTCATTCTCGTTCACGAAACGGTACAATTTTTCACAACAAAATTAGGCATCGGTACGTTTTTGAAGAGAAAGACCGTCAAAACGGTGAAAGTTGGTTGTTCAGAGTTGCGCACGAAGTAAATACACGAAGGAGATGACGAACACTCAAAAAAATGAACTGGTGCAAATAACTCGAGGTGCTCCTTCTAAGCTGTCGAAAATTCGAATCAACAACAACCAACCAACAAAATTGGTGTGAAGGCCTCTATTGAATTAAATTTGGGGGGTACGGTTTAGTTATTTGCCCACTAATTTCGGGTTATTGTATCCAAATGCTTGATCCGATCCAAAAAAAATTAACTCACACGTGCAGTCAGAGAACTGAAGTTTGATTTAAAACAAAACTTTCAAATTTCCGAGTACTAATTTAAAAAATTCGGTTTGAAATAGGCACTTTTTTGGAAAATGGGTGGGATTTAAGGTGCCCCTCCGCCCACCACGAAAACAGTACGCAAATTACAAAATATTTCCCAATTTAGGTATAGAAGCAGGGCCGAAAAAATAGTACACTTTAGTTCATTTAAATTTCGAACTAATTCGTTCATTCTTTTCAATGAACTAATTCAATGAACGAACTACCCAACTCTACCCGGCACACATATTTTTCTAGGTCTATGCACGAGCTTCTCCTTCAATTTGTGTTGTGCGTATTGATGTTGTTACCAAAAATGGAGGGACCTACAGATTTACGCCGCCTCCGAACGGCAGTGGGATTTTATGAGAAGCTTTTTTCTATAACAGAAATATCCTCGAAGATTTGGCTTTGCCTGCCGAGCGGCGACCACTGTTAGAAAAAACTTCGAACCCAGTTCCTGAGTAGTGGCAGGACGCATCTCTAACCAATCAGCCACAGCGGCCGCCAACAACGCTATACAGAAGCTGAATCTATTCTGACATGGTTATTTTCATCTTTAGGGAGGGAGTGACTAAATTTTATCTGACTTAATTAAAATTGCCTTTTACGTTTGCCTTGCGTTACTTAATTTTTGGTTTAGTGCAGAGCAGGTCAAGTTAGAGCAGAATCGAGCAGCTGTCAAAAAAACAATAGAGCAAGTTAGAGCAACTCAGATCAGAAATCTCATGAAACACTTTTGGTGCAGCAAATCCCAAAAAAGTTGCTTGCTCTAAGTTACGCCATCAAAAAACTGGGGTTGGAGGAAGTCGTGCTCTAAGTTGCTCTAGTTCCACTTAGCACAAGCTCATGAAACAAAAAGTAGATTAACACAATTTTGTGTCATATCTTATAACCTGGCGTAACCTAGAGTAGCTCATTAAACACCAACTATTATAGCAAAAGCAAAGTGTTTTTTCAAGCAACAGAAATAAAGAAAAATATTTCTTGTGATTGGCAAAGACGTAGTTCAAGGCGCAAATTAAAAAAAAAATCTCTCTTTTAATTTATTTGAATCATCGAAAAGGAAATGCCATGAACGACCCTACATTATTTTAATTAGAAACTCAGTTTCTGGCCTAAATTCACCAGAAGCGCACTACGACAGTTCGCTAGTTGCAAATGTAAATGGTGGTGGAGTATTGCCAACATCTGCAGATAACTGTACCAACTGCAATTTCATGTTCACGTGTGTGTGTGTGTGTGTGTGCGACGTGTAAATACTCCGCCGTGTCTCGGGCGTGTCATGTCAAAGATGTTTCCTGACAAAAGTTTGCTCGTTAATTGTCTTGAAAGAGTATGTAAGTGTGTATGTGTGTTTGTGTGTGCAAATGACTATTTGGCTGTGTGTTTCAAGTCGAGACAAACTTGTCGGCAAGCAACTTTGGCCTGTGTTTGGTAAGGTGTAACGACTGGCTGCAGTGAAAGCCACTAGTAGTGAAGTGGAACACTATCAGCTTACTTAGCAGCACAACTAGTTCGGCTTCTATTTGCTTTCCTTATCAGCAACAGGTAGCATCGCGAAGTCCAACGAAATATCAATTGGTAAGTGTTGTATATTGGCGCCGACCATGATAAATACTAGTACCGTTATACTAAGTATGTCGAGTAAAAATTTCGATATCTTAACGATATGGTATGTGCACTTTTTTCGGCGTAGCACCAATAACCACGCCCATATACCTTATAACGGTAATTTAGAGAAATACGAAATCTTCGATAAATCAGTAAATACCGAAGCTAATTTAGTCAAAGTTAGTTGATGTTTGCAATAATTATTTGGCACAAATATGTTTATGATGAAATTTTGGAAAATGGGCGTGGTACCGCCCACTTATGATCACATATATGTATCTCGGTAACCGTTCGGCCAATATGTACCAAACTCGGTATGATTGTTGCACTTGCCACATAAAAGAAAAACGCTGAAAATAATCGAAATCAGACGAAAATTACGCGCACTTTTTATATAACGGTAACTTTCCAAAATGCTTGAAACATCGATATTTTGAAATTTAAGGACGCTAATTTACACAAAATTAATACTTGCCACAATCGCTCGAAAAGAAGCAGCATTATTATGGAATTTTGGAAAATGGGCGTGATACCGCACTCCTGCTTACCATGTAGCGGTAGTTTTCGGGAAGGTGAAAAAAACTACATTTGCTACTTGCGCCGAGTATCCAATGTTCGGCTCCGCCCGAACTTAGCCTTTTTTACTTGCCTTTTCTTAATTCAATTTAATATTTCTATTAAAATTTGGTTCATTTAGTTTTTCAATAAAATTGTTATTTCTGTACTTTTTTAATTCAAACCTGCGACCTGAGAACCAAAGACGGTAGTCTTAATGCGTCACCTCGTTCTCGATTTGGGTTTGACAATTCAAAGGCAGATGTCGCTAATAGCATAACTGGTAAACTTCCGCATAAGCATATACCAGTTAATGACCTGGTCACTTACTACCAGTTGCTCTACCGAAAGTTTTACTATTTGGTTTACAATCTCACTGCAGGGGAAATACAAGCAGGAAATAGCTGAAGCATTTGATATGCAATGGCAGCCAGAACCCTCCAAACGCTGCAGCACAAACTTTGTATATAAAACAACAAATAACTACAACAAAAAAAATGACATAAAAAGGAAGAGAAATTCAATTAAACACTAACACGCGTCGCAGCTCTGTTTAACTTACGAGCATTTCTTTGATGACTTAATGATTTTGTGTGTGCCTTTTGAAACCACCAGAGTCTGACAAACAAGTCTGTATGTATGTATGTATGTATGTACATCTGCTGAAAGTTAAGAAATTAAGTTACTAAGATATTATTATTATTATTATTATACAGACGACGTTTACACCGAGTATGTACTCGTACAGTATAGCGACCTGAGCAGATAAAAAAAAGCAGAGAAATCAGAAGAAAATTCTATTGCATTAAATAATATAATAAAACTGTTTAGAGACGCTAGGCTAATACCAATTTTTTGCCCAATAGCCTGTCTCATAAATTGCATAGACAAAAACGCCATGAATATTCACCTGAGCGAAGGCCTCTAATCTAATTGAACTCAATTATTTATTTACAAACTATTTAATTATGTATGTATAGAGCTACATACATTTCGAGTGAAAATTAACTAAACTTAACGACACAGCGAATCATAATAAATATTCCACAAGATAAATTAAGATGTTCTTGCACATCGAATTCGGTAGAATTTTAACAACTTCACATTTCCCCCTACGATAAGCTCCTAACCCCGGGTCGTCCCAGTACACATAAAAAAATATCAGCTTCCATAAAAAATGCTAACAATAGCTTGGCGGACGAATTCCTATTTAGGCATAGAAAGTGCGCTGGCGTCTCTTCGTCTAGACAAATACGGTATTCTATTTCCACGGTCAGACGACCCCGCAAATGGTTTTTGCCGGTTAGGTACCCAGTGATCAACCCGATTCTGGCTTTATTCATAAAATATATGTTATTTTCTACCGAAATTATAGCTAAAGGACCTGGTCTTTCTAAATGCCCCTCCACTTCGGCGTACTAACTGCGCTCCGAGTTTACCCGCTTATTCCCAAAAGAGCAGATGATGAGATGATTCCCTATCCTGGCTGTCTGACAAAAATAACTAAGTATATATAAAGGCGCCACTCAAATCGAAATGGCTGACAAACTGTGGACCATCTGCTCATAAAATAGAAAGTCTAGTGTTAGGTCCATAGACAAGCGCATCTGTACTTCCAACCAGTAGGACTTCAGTTCGATTACTGGAAGCCTCTCGGCAGGCAATGGCAAACCTCTGAGTGTACTTCAGCCACGAATAAAGTTTCTAATAGTTTCCATTTGCTGTTCGAAGTCCGGCATAAACTATAAGTCCATTCGCCCGACCAAAAACCTCTACTGCTCCAACAAGTAGATATATTGGACAAGTTCCTCACTTTCGAGTGATGGTCAAAGCTTTATTGAAAATTTGTTTAGCCTCTACCTCGTGTCACTGTCATGGAATTAAAAAATAGCGGCTACGTAGGCTCGGTCATTTCGTATGAATGGGGGCAAACGCTCCAGCCCTATAAGTGGTTCAACGCGGTATTCACTGGTGGCTGCATAGGAAGAGGAAGGGCTATGTGGCGATCGAATTATTTGTGAAGAGAAAGTAACTGCTGAGTGGACCGACCGAGCAATGGTATAGAGTCTATGCTCTAATACCTGGACAGACCGCTAAGAGGCTATTGTCCCAGAGTTCCCCCATTATCTAAATCTTTAGGTAGGGTATAAGTATATGCATCCCTTGACCTGACGGCTGATAGTCTTATTAGGAAAAGATAAATTCATAGTGCTTCTTAAAGATTTATGATTCATAATATAAATGTATTGGCTTTGCCCATCATTTCCGGAGCTCAGTCTTGTTCAGTAGAAACCTACATTTTTTTTGGTTTTTGGAGCCCATAAAACTTGGTATCCTTAAGATATGGTTAGATATCAAATTTTTAACGGTACTTACCTTTAAGGTAACACCGCCCAAGTCGTATTCCCGATTGAAGAGATCCTCCACGGTTGCGCGATATTTGTCTGTGTAGGTTTTGAAAAGAAAACGTTTGATGATGGAACTTTTGCCGACACCGGCGCCGCCTAGAATAACCAGCCTTATGCGCTCCAAATCAGCCATGTCGAACGCGGCTGGCAGTACAAATGTGCACGATGAAAGCAGAAGTTTAGCAAATGCAACAAGTGGCTACAGCTAATACCAGCGAGCGTGATAATATTTAATGTCGGAGGGGGGAGAGGAAGCGCTTAAAAGCCTTCAAGTGCTTGTTTGTTTTTTTTATATAAAATTTTCATTAACTGCCGGCTATTCACTTTATTACTGCGTGGCTTAAAGTGATCTTTATGCTGACTTCTATGTGACAAAAGTCTCAAGTGAGGACTTACCAGCCTGATTTTAGTCCTTATAAAATTGGTTTTCTCTTCCAAGAGTTATTTATGTTAAACCATTTTCACCTCCTCGAAGTAATTTTTACCTTTTCGTACTCGACATACAATTACAACCACTCCGCGATCAACGCGATATATATATTTGAGTGTCCTCTTTAGCCAGCTCCTAATTTGAACGCTTTTTCATTGCTTTTTGTGGCACGTAGTAATTACAACTACACTAACTGGAACAGAAGCAAGAAAATAGCCGCGTTGAAGGAGAATGGTGTAATGTAAGAATTGAAGGCGCTCATTCACTAATTTGGCACGCGAGTAAATTTAATTATGATTTCGCATCCGTTAGCAAATAGCAATTGTGGAAGAGTGTGAGCTTGCTGTCAGTTAATTGTCCATTTCAGCTGTTTTTGTGGCGACACCACACGCTGGGTGCGTGCGCGGTAGTTGTGCAGCCAGCCGCAAGTCCTGCCTTCTCGCAAAGTCCGATCTGAGTTGTTGTGAATTCTCTATTCGCTCTTATCGCCGAATGAGTTATTTATTTGATTTATGTGCTCACATTTGTTGCCTATTTTATTGATTATGCGTCTACTTTCAGTTTGCCATTTAAGGATGTCTTTAAGTGGTGCGTACGCTCCTCAAGAACGTTTTTATATCAAATAGTTAATCCTGTGTGCGTGGAGGTTTGCTAAAAAAAAAGGTAAGAAAAGGGAAAACAGTTGCTTAATTAAGCCATGCTATGCAAGTGTATGTATGGAGGTACATATGTAAATGGCAACCAGACTAATAGCATCTGCGAATATGAATAAACTACAAATACAAGTACATATTTACTACAAAGTAACCATAAGTCTAACGTGCAAAGTCTACCTCCACCCCGATTAAAAATAATTAGAGGACAGAATGCTAATATTAATAAGACCAGAAGACGCTTGCGTGAATTCTCCACAGCCGCGCTAACCCACCGATGCTAAGAGACCGCTGTGGAAATGTAGGGTTTCGTGCATTCGTGCAGGTCAAAAGAATGTAGCGGGAGAGGAGTGTGGTCACAAGAGATTGAGCCAAAGTTGAGCAAATGTTCGCAAAAGTAAAGCCAGTTCTGTCATGCGCTCTAATCAACAAGTCATTCACATATTTATAGGTTATTTTTGGTACTGTCGTAAACATTCAAAGCGCAAGTTATTTGATGAATTCATCACTTCTTAGTGGACTTTAAAATAACAGAAAAAATATTTTTTTCTTTTTCCTGTTTGGTGCTGGAAGGTTGGCTAACTATAAAGAGAGTCGTTGTTAACTCAGTGCCGTGACTAATAAACGGAATACCGAATGAAATATGTATTTGTTTTCTTCAAAAATTACTTAATTACTTTGACTTAAGAAAATTCTAGATACATACAAACATACATATGTATTTAATTCGAAAATAATTGACACAGAAGTTATAGCTACGCCGAAGGCCTCAAAACTTGCAAATTCAGTTACACAAGTATACTGATGTATTTTTAAATACTTATTTATCTATAATTGAGATAACCCTAAATCTATTTGCATAAGTTTCCAACCGCCGCACAAACTGAAGTCACACATTCATGCATTCATTCGTTCACTCATTCTACTAAATAATTGACTTTGTTTCCAACTCTTCGCATCGCTCTTCGCTCGGAGCTGTAAACTCTGCATTCACCCAATTATTTCTGTAAATATTTATCTTTAATCAATTTAATGATTGCCTCGTCCTCCCCCACCTGCCATACAAAGAATGGATTATAAGTATTTATTTGAGGATAAATGTGTATGGTAAGTCCACTGATTTACCTTGAAATTATTAGAAGGCTTACCTTTGCGCGAATGAATGAAGGCATTGCATTTAGAAATAAGGAAGGCAGATCAAACAGAAATTATGAAAAATTTTCAACAGTAACCAAAAACCGTACAATTTGTATCTATGTATATGGAGGATGGATTGGTGAGCTATAATTTAAGGGCAGTTTGCATGGGTCCGAACTAAGTCAGTATTTCGTACAACTCCTCAAATACAATTTATCGACTATTTGCATTTTGAATTGGCTTAATGCTCTGATTGAATGCCGAAATGGCTTTCGTCTTTTACCAAAAAATTAGAGTTAGTTAAAATATTGCCGACGTTCCTCTTGAACAGCTTTAATTAAGGAGAAGAAACTTTGCATTGTTGCATAAAAAAATTTACCGACTTTTGATATGTATTGTTTAGGTAAAATTAGTTAGAGCGAATATGTATATATGTATATTAGGATGGTCCTTAAATGTAAGAAGCAAATTTTACCATCAGATTTCCTAAGCCTCAACCCCTATGTCAATGCCACTATAGTCGAAGATATCACATATAAATTTTAGTCCCGATAAGGCTTGCCGCCCGGGGTCAAAGTTCAGATTCCTCTATGGAGACTAAAAAAATAGAGATTAACTTTTTCGTCTAATACCAATTGAAGTCGGTTAAGGCGTGTCGCACAAGTTCAGATTACCCTATGAAGCCGTCTTAACCGACTCGAATCGGGAATGTAATATCCTCGACTTTGGTAGTATCGGTTTTGGCTATTAAATGAAAAAAATATATATATATTTTTAATTTTTTGAGTCCATAGAGGCATCTGGTTTTTGACCCTTTTGCGACACGCCTTAACCGTTTCCAATCGGGACCAAAATTTACATGTGATTTATGTGTTTAACCGATTGAGGGGGTGTGACTAAAAAAAATAGTTCATTTGATTTTTTTTTAAGGACCCCCCTATGGGAATGGAATGATTTTTTCGACATTGTTTCTAATTCGTATTCTACATAGAATTCTAT